TTGGACTGGATGGGCCTTTGGCCTGATCCAACATTGGCGTCTCTTATGTTCTTATGAAGTACTTCTTCACCCAAAGAGTAATTAACACGTGGAATTCACTGGCACAGGAAGTGGTTGCGGCTACAAGCACAGACAGCTTCAAGAGGGGATTGGATAAACATATGGAGCAGAGATCCATTAGTGGCTATTAGCCACAAGCTATAGATAGGAACTCTCAGTCTGGGGCAGTGATGCTGTGTATTCTTTGTGCTTGGAGGGCAACAGTGGGAGGGCTCTGGAGTTCTGGCCCCCGCTGGAGTTCGGCCTCCTGATGGCACCTGGTTTTTGTTCACTGTGTGACACAGATTGCTGGACTGAATGGGCCATTGGCCTGATCCAACATGGCTTCTCTTATGTTCTTAACCAGAAATGATATAAGTTAAACAAAAATGTCACAGTGACTTCTAAAGCTAACTTTTAAAGCTTTTGAAGTAGCCATACATTTCAGCCTTTTGTATCCTTAGCCTTCTGTATAAACACTGTAATCTTCTGAAAGATTATTTCTGCCAACATATTCTAGTATACAGCATACACTGTACTATCTTAATTTAACAAAGAATGGCTTTGAAGCATAGAAGTCTGCAGAGGCTTTGCAAGAACTTCTCAGTTTCGTATAATGTTTTTAAAAAGATAAGTAACCGTGTAACATGATGAGCTCAGGAGATGAGAGAAACTGATGAGAAAACAATGAAAATTGTTATCTGCCATAATCCTGCACCTCTGAATTTAATGATTAAGTGATTAAGTTTGTCATTGTACTCTATTCAGAATGCTGCAATTAAAATCTGCTATTGTCTAGGGAATTCAATTCCCCATCTCAGCAAAAAGGACTTTCTGTTTTAGTAGCCAGAGAGCACATTTCAGTTTGTTTTCCCTTGCTACTATTTGCCTGCTTTGTAGAAGTCTTAAAACTAGTTGATGAATAAATGCAGGTTACAGAAAGCTTGGTTCTGACTTTGCATAGATTTGACGCCTTTGGAAAGCAAAAGGAAACGTTTCCAGGTTGTACCTTTAGTCAGTCATTCTGTACAGAAGATTCCTGAAAATATTGAAGCTGGAAGCTTTTTTTCTACAGAAGAAAAATTTGGATTTGTATGTTACACTATTGCATCACAGTATAAACCAGGTAGATGCTTCTCTTTGACAAAGCAGGGAATGGTGTCTATCGTGTTTGAATTAGGCTGTGTATCTTTAATGGGCACATCCTTCTTGTACAGAAATACGAATTTATTTCCTGTTTGTTAAAGGATTTGATCAAATCTGCAAAGAGGAAATGAAGTCTGTAGTGTGTGTATATGTGTAAGGAAGGGGCAATTCTATAGATGGTATTGTGAACCTTATTCCATTTTTCTTCTTCTAAACAAATTTCACACATAACATGGGAGCAAATACGTGTTTCTACATTGACAGGCATGTAGCAAATCCAAGCTTTCTTTGTATCTGTCTTCATGATGCATTTTGGAGCCAGTTTGGTGTAGTGGTTAGGAGTGCAGACTCATCTGGGAGGACCGGATTTGATTCCCCACTCCTCCACATGCAGCTGCTGATGTGACTTTGGCCCCTGGCCCTGCCGTGACAGGGAGTACCCACAAGATGTCCTCCGCCTCAGTTCTCAAAAGAGCTCTCTGAGCCCCACCTACCTCACAGGGTGTCTGTTGTGGGGAAGGGAAGGAGATGGTGAGCCTCTCTGAGACTCTTTTGGGTAGTGAAGGATGGGGTATAAATCCAGTCTTCTCCTCCTTTTCCTTCCAAATGGATAGCCGTGTTAGTTCATAGCAGAAACATGACAGGAGTCCAGTGGCACCTTAGAGAATTTATTGCAGTATAGCTTTCATGAGAGAGTGAGATGTTAGTCTCTAAGGTCCCACTGGACTCCTGTTTTGTTTTATTTCCAAACGTGTTATCTCATTTATAATAGCCCACCTAAAAACATAATGCAGGAAGTACTATATTTTCATAAGAGATGCTACATTTGCTTTCCTGTGCCTCTGGAATGGTTTCTTCTCTACTCAAATTCTCAGTTTTTTTACACAGTTTAGAAATAATCATATGCACCATTTTCTTGTGCTGGAGAAATAAGCCTCAGAAAGATAGATGGGATACTACTGTGTTTTCTTTCCTGCAAAGCGGTTTCCTGCAAGTGGTAGTGAGCATACTTAAGATATTGTTGAAGCAGTTGCTTTAATTTAGCCATGGTTCTTGCAACTATTCTTCATTGGGTTGTTTTTTGTTTTAATTACTGGTTTCCGGGATACTGTGTCATGGGGAGAAAAATCAACACTTGTAGAAGCACAAAGAAAGGCTACCTAAAGTGGTCTGGATTGGTACACTGGCTCTTTGTGAAACCTGTTAGCATCATAGTAATCTGTAGTATAACAACAAAATTAAATTTATTGGAAATATAATCCCCCCCCCCCCCCACACTCCGCGTTAATGCAGGGAGAGTTGGTTGGAAGGCACACAGAAAGATCATTTCAGCTTTACTCAGTTTCTTCATCATCAGACTTCACATTTTTGTTTGAAGATTTAATTTTTTTTGATATCTTTAAGTATTATTAGGAAAATGTTATAATGACTTTTGTCCCCTCTATGCAAAGAGGTTAGTTGGGTAGTCTGTGCCAAAGCTTCTTAGCAGATGGTGCTTGAGCAGTAAGCAACATCCATACTCTGGCTTAAAGCATAATATGGAGGTCTACCAGAATAAAGAATAAAACTGCAGCCCTCCGTCATCAATCCTCCCATCTAAAGGGTACAGCACACAGCCATCTGTCAATCCAGTCTACCCTTTTCAAGAAGGTCTTTGTCCATTTATTTTGACAGTTTTGTCTCTTGAAAGCAAAAATTTAGTGTGTTTGTATAATTATATTATCTATATTTTCTGTTGGCATATATATAGTAAATGCTTTTACCTTTTATGTTGTGTAATATAAAAACATAGTTTGTGTTAGTATAATGGTTTCCAAGCCTGTTTTTTCATCAAAGCATGTGAATTTTTAATAGCTTCAGATAGGTTAAAATCTAAGGGCAAGGGTTAAAATCTATGGGCAAGACTGGAGTGGGTCAGATATAACATTCAACCAGAAACCAAGTTTGCTTCACCTCCAAGCCATAGTTAGAAATGATGATTTGAAACTGGTTTGTGATCCTGGTTTGGAGAGGATAGGCATGAACATTGGAATCATTTGTGTAGCTCCAAACCATGGTTTGACATTATATCTGAACCATCCCTGGATGTATTATGTTTTGTTGTATGAGAAGCTGTTACAAATAACTGAAGTATGCAAAACTCAGTAAAAGTAGAGTGAAGGCAGGAAGTGGCAACAGCACTGCTCAGTTCATTTTTTATGGCTCATCACCTTAAAGTGATGCTTCCATGCTCCTTTGATGGAAGCCACCAGTCCTAACAAGTATAGAATGCGAGAATAAAACAAACCTAGGTTATACTATACTATAGTATGTATCATATATTGCTTTAAGTTGTAGGAGTCTAGAATTATCTTTAACTGGAAGGGCACATGTTATGGAATTCAAAGGAACATCTGTCTTAGAACTTGATATTGAAAGCACAATTCAGTATTTTGAGAATGCTAGCATTCATTTTTTAAAAGCAAGTTTCTAGTGCTTATGTTTGCCGGTATGGGTTTTAAGTGTATTCGGTGGAATTTCAAAAGCCACAAGTAGGGCTGAGCATATTTGTTTGTTTTAGTTACAAAAGTTCTCCCCTGAGGCGGAGGACATCTTGTGGGTGATTCCCATCCTTCTCTAGGGAGGCAGGACTAAGTTGAAACTTCTTCCTGTTTCCTTTGGAGGGAGTCACCCTAGCTCAGTTATATCATGTCTTTCAGCCCAGTAGGGGCCACGTAGGTGGCTAACCACTGAAAACAGAGCAGAATTAAAAGACATAATTTAACAAGTTAAAACAGTGTGTGTGTAAAACAAAGAAATATCAATTTAAAGCATAGGCTGTCTCTCACATTGCAACCCATTCAACCTCAGAACGCAGGGGCAAGGCCTCAGAAGAGGACTGTAGCAGTTTGGTAGGCGGTCCTTGAAGTATGTTGGCCACAGACCATATAAAGGTTGATGCCTGTCTTGGATTGCACCTGGAAACAACCTGGGAGCCAGTGAAGATATACTAAGATGGGGGTGTTATTGGGTTTCTCTTTGCCCTCCTAATGACTGGCAAATCCAGTATAGTTTTTTTCTCTGCAGACTCAAATGTCTTCTGAAATAGTTTCTTCACTGAGGAGGTAGAAAAAAGACAGGACTAGCTATTTGCTTTGAGGTTGAGACACTGGTTTCAATTTCCAAAAAAAGGGGGGAAATCTGCTTCCTGTATGGCAACAGGGAGAGACTGTCAAGCCCAGACACATTAGAAAATCGGTGTCTATGGCTAGGCCAAGGGTGAATGGTTACAATGTGCCTGCCTGAGATAATCTCAGCATTTTGCCTTTTTTTGGTTCATTCAAAATGTTTTAGATTTTATCCTTAAGAAGCAAGAGGGCATCAGGAACTGTGTGCCACTATGGGGATTGCTGCTGCAGGTATAGTAATGAGAGTGGGTGATAACTTTTTGACCTCTTTCTTCCACCACCCACAGAATGTGACAAGCTCCGGAGAGATGGCTACCGAAGTTCTCAGTACTATTCTCAGGGTCCAACCTTTTCCTCCTCTTCCAGTGCAATCTGTGGAAATTACCAAGATGACTATGAAGAAGTTGAACGAAAGGTAAGGTAGAGAAACAGTGTTATATATTAGATAGATAGTCCAAAATCAAATCGCCTTACCAGGGTTTAGAGATTATGCCCTTACTCTTAGAGCTGTTCTGTTTTAAAAATGGCAGTTTAAGTTGTTTCTTCTATCGTGGTTCAGTTTACACAGGCAAATTAGAGTGCAAATATCTTGGCTGTATGATAAATGAAAGCTCTGATTTTGAAACAGGTTAGGTTAGTTTTTGCTTTTATGAACAAGTAGAAAACACTGCCATTATCTCTTTGTAAATACTATAGTTCTGTAATACAATGAGTGTTCAGAATTCACCTTGTATTGTATTTCAGGTATGCATTTATTTCAAGATGATGTCATAGATAAATGCAAACTTAGTCTTTCACAGTCTGTTCCCATACATACAAGACAGGATTACAACAAAATTCTGTTTAGTTTTATACCCTTCTTAAGTCCATTGTTTAGAATTTCAGTATGAGTGTAATTATGTTGACTGTCGCTTATTGTTAGTTGGTTTGTTTCATATTGTTGTGATCTCTTGTAAATGAAGCCTGCTGTTGGTAACACTGGCCCCTTATGGAACTATTATATTCTGTATTGTATTCTTAGAATGTAACATTTTTTACAACTTGTCACATCATGGGCTTGGAAGAGCCCATGGTACAGATTTCACCTCAGCTGTGAACTGGTTACTGTTCTATACAAGCCACTAATAAGACTTATACTCCCCCCCAGGTGGTGTTGAGTATTGTAAAGATGATCAGACTCATATATGTGGAGGACTTTGAGTACTTGAGAAAAGCACTATATTAAAGGCTATTATTTCTTACCTTCTAGCTCATTTTATCATAGGTTTAAGGCTGAGTAGCAGTACATGGAAAACAACACAGAGGGTTCAATGAAGCCAGCTTGTCCTCAGCCACAGTCAGACACATATTGCAACACACTTCCAGGTCCATTCTTCCTCAAGCGTCTGTGTGCACGCATGGTATAATTTACTTTCAAGAAAACATATTTAGAATTGAGTGAGTTTGAAATCCAAACGTTTTTGCCTTAGCTGGTTTATGGATTGGGTTGCTTACCACAATGACAAGAGCAATTTATGACATGATAAATGGCATCTTGGGGGAGATTACAGACTAAGGGCAATCTCAAGTCTAATATAGTTTAATAACTAAGCACAATAATCACTGTCTTGGTTATTAGCTTTCTGTGAAATGTATCCTGTAATATGATATAATCATCATTGCTCTAAAAATAGTTTACTGAAAAAGATGAATTGGTATGTGGTATGTGTAGCTCGCAAACTTTTAAAAAATACCGTAGAGCCATTCATCATTTAAATGTACTGCAAACTTAAAACCCTGTGCTTTTAGGATTCCAACTGAAGGGTTTTAGTGATCTTGTAAATGTATGGCTGTAATTATTCTTTCTGCCCAAATGAGCGATCTTTAATTATAGTTTTGGTTAAAGTCCAAAGTACGTAATCACAAAGTAGAGTAGTCCTTTTTCCATTTACTTGCAAAATGATATTATTCTTAATTGTCATTTCTGTCCATTAAATATAAAATACCTTATTTGGTTATTTTTCCAGCCCTAGTATTTTCATATTTTCAATACCTTAGGGCATAAGGAGGTTGGGGGTAGGTAAAAATTATTGGCATTTTGTACTATTACATTCATCTCTGTTTTCTCATTTGGCTCAAATGAGAGGGATTCTCTTTGCAACTGCAGGACAGGTTATTAATATCACATCCTGGCATCCCACCTACTCTTTGTTCAGTAGGCTCAAGGATGAGACTGTTAACTGGACAGTGGAGATTCTTTTGGGATTCCCTCTAGCCTACTGTGCAAGCTAAAGCATGTATCAGGGAATCCTGTTGTCTCCTTGGGATGATGTTACTGCCTGTATATTGGCAGAGGGAGGGAAAATAAATGTTGTACATTCTAGCTATTTCTAGGGAACATAAAGCAATGGCTTACAGTTTCAAGGTATACCTCAGCTCCTCTTGTGGCACATTAATCACTGAATTTGGCACTCAGTGATCTAGCCACAACCAATTTTTCTCTGTATGCTGCAGTATTTCAGAGAAGATAAAGCATCTCAAAGGCCAGACACTGCTTGAAGCTTTGCTTTATTACTCATTTAATAGCAGTTAAACATCCAACAGGGAGAAATGTCATGGGCATATTTCATGTTATAAAAATATATAATGTTGAAATAAGTGAAAAAATAAAAAACAGCAATGAGACAATATGCAGGGTATGGTAGCTCTAACCAGCCAACGCCCTCCCCTTTCAGACATTTTTATGCTCTCACTTTTTAATTATTTATTTAAAATCACTTGCTGCATTTTCCCATGTTCAGATTAGATTACACAAATCAAAATTATAAATATAAAAAATACTGTATCCAAAAATCAACTGCAAATCATCGTCCTTAAAAGATCCAGCCCAAAGAACAAACTAAACCTCAAAAAGTCATAGTTCTTCAAAGGCGAGTAAGACGTACCATGACAGTGACCAATATTAGTAAAACAATTAAGTTAATAATCTTTATGGCTGAAGCCATTAGAGGAAGTCATTACCCAGGGGTCAGATATAAATGTATGGAGTAACTATAATTCTAGCCATAGATGGATTGCAGATTTTGGCTGGGACAATTGAGTTAATAATCTTTATGTCTGACGCCATTAGAGAAAGTCACTACCCAGGGGTCAGATATAAAGGTATGGAGTAACTATAATTCCAGCCATAGATGGATTGCAGATTTTGGCTGGCAGGCAGTTGTGGTCACCAATAGCACTCTACATCAGGACCTGGGACAGTGCACTGTGGATGCTGTAGGCAAAACTAAGGCTAGCTAGTGGGACCTAGGTTAGTGAGCAGGACAACTTATATGCTTGGCTAGGGCTTGCCAGATGTCGACTCAGGGCTGAAATTCTTAAGCAGGAAGGTGTGTATTCTAAGCCCCTTTCCCTGGAATAAATCAACCTCTGTTAAAGGACCAGATCTTAGTTTATGAATTGTGCCCTCCAGCCAAGGTAATTTCTCCTGTAGCTTCTGTGATGTCCATATGGCAACAAGTAGAGGCGTGTGTGATTCCTATAGCTGAAGGAGTTTCCAGGGAGAAATTTGTGTGTGGTGGCAACAGGAAAACTTTCATGTACAGCACATAAGAGAGAGCAGTCTTCCCTTGGGATTCTTTCTGTTCATTCAAGAATACCTTGATGACTGCTTCTTGAGATGGTACAAGAGATTCTTGAGATGGTATTAGCAAGCATCCTTGATGTCCCAAGATTCTTCTTCTGATGTCTAGGTCTTCAGCTGTGAGATTCCCATTGTCACTTGTTTCTAGCAATGAAATAACTAATGAATAGATCTATATTGTATAAAAAGTACTTCAGCCACCCTGAGCCTGCTTTGGCAGGGAGGTTGGGGTATAATTTAAATAAATAAATAAGCAATCACTGTGTTTGTCAAGGACTGTAGTTCACCCATTGTTTCCCCCACAAACTCAAAGGGAATCAAAACCTTGGAAACAGGAGAAGGTACATCATGTGTAACCCTTTTGCAGTGTGTGAAATTACTCTTAACACAAGATAATACTTTTTAAATAGTGTTACTGCATTTACTCACTTCTGTAAGTATGTCTCCGCATTGCCTGTTTAGTTTTTAACTGGCATTCTTCCAAAACAACCCACTCAAACCCCAAAGTATATCCTTTTAACTGAAATATGACATTCCAGATGTACTCCCCTCTCTCATATAATACTTCATTCTCTACATAGAAATGCTTCCCAGCTTTCCCCAACTTTTTGTATCATGTAAATGTTTGATGTGGCTGTTGTGTTATTGTATATGGGTGTTTTTCATTCTCTTTTCTTTGTCACTCATTCTCTTTCTTTTCTCTCTCATTCAACAGTCTAGTCTGTTAGACTGCCTACCTCAGTCTTGCCTTAGCATCTGCTGTTGTTTGATTCCATGGAAGATCAAGGTACCTAGCCAAAAAGTAGGAGCATCCAGCTGTAATGCCTGCAGCTTGATGTTCTTGTCCTATTAGAATATCCTCAAGTCTTGTGCTCTTACTCGTAATTTGTCATCTTCCTTTTATTAAAAAAAGTCTTGCAATAATATTTCCTTTTCCTATTCTTTTCATTTTAACCTTGTTTTCAGCAACCCCGACACCTCAGTTTGTATACATGATGGACTAACTTGTTTTTGTAACCCTCCATATTTGTTGATGTTAGCTGTTTCCCAAACTGACTTTAGGAATAATTACTAAATTTATTATAAACTTTGGATAATTGTATTTAACACAATAATTCAGTGCAATTAAGATCTATTTCCAGCTTTAGTTTATTTAAAATAATTTTAATTATTGTCATTGGAATTTGAGTCTTGTCTTCAAATAGGCCCAAAGTAATTGGATACCAAAACTACTAGAATTTGAAAATCCTATTTTAAATGTTAAATTTGTGAATAGATATTGATCCCACTACATGGTTAAGAAAGGGCTAAGTCTTGTAATGCTACTGCACTTCTTTGAGTATGTGTTGCTTTGAAATTCCTTAGAGTGGGTGAAATAAACCATTAGGGTCTTCTAGTTTCATATGTCTCAAAGGTAAGTACACATGGTCAGCCTTCTGTAGTAAGTATGGATCTCTCCTATGGGAAAGAAGTCTGCTTTTCCCTAGGACCTATCGTGCATTCTCCACCATGTAAATGAGAGTGGAGGAGCCCCAAGGTTGGATCCTGTCAGATCCATGTGTACAGGTAAGGGAAATCTTCCCCCTTTTACAGCAGCCTTTCCTCTCGTGCTGTTCTTGGGGGTCCACCATAGTCCAGGAACAGTATTTCTGGGGACATTTGGAGTTACATCAGGAGGGGGGAAGGCAAGAAAACTGAACTTTTTTGGTGGAAATGCGGTAAATTTTGATGGAATACTATTTGGACAGTCTTTTAAAAGCCATATCAAAGATGGTTCTACACTGACCCCAAAT